CCCCCCCCCCCCCCCCCCCCCCGCCCTCCCTTCCGCTCCCCTCACCCCATCTCGGAGTATCTACCAAAGCTTTTCCGCGCCCGTTAGATTAAGAAGGGCCCACACCCTATGACGAACCTGCTTTAGCTCATCAATTGGAATCGAGCACTGAATTTGATCGCGTCCAATTCCTGGATGATTATCGAAATAGTAATCGCGGCCACCATAACGAAATGGTGAACCCATTGACTGGATGATAGCTCTACCAGCTTCAAACATTAGCATGCCTATAAAAAGTTGTTTAGGGCAGGGATCATGGATAGCCAATCTTTTAAAATTCTTTCTGGTTCTCAGTTCATCGACCAGGGGTGGGTCAGGAGGTGCCATGTCGGTCACGTCGAATGTATATCCCCATGTACGTTGCCCTCTCTGCTGATCGTATCGAAACCCGTTATATGTAGTCCGATGCGATCAGCCGATTCGCCACGCCTACAGTAACCCATTCCCAGCTTGGTATTCCAGGTGGCATGTCCTGACCCATACCATAATGCCATCGATATTAATCAGAAACATATATAAACTTATTCATGGGATGTTCCCTCTTCCCTGGATGCTTCGTTTCCTTCATTCACATACTTCTTTGTTCCTGTGTGACCGCTCTGTCCCATGGAAAGTTACCAAAGTATAAGGTACCCGGCCACCCCACCCTTGTTCCCTGATTCCCATAGTGGATTTCAGGGCGCCTCTGCTTAGTCTTTCCGGGTATTGATTTTTTCTTACAATTAGTAGTTTGGTAAGCGAGAAGGGCACGATCCGAGGTGCCTAATTTTCAAGCATCTTCAAAAAGGGGTCCATTCAGAGTGTGGAGCCATCCATTCATTCAAGATTCGGGAGTTCAAAAAAAATCAAACGTTCAGCGTTATTTGTCCGTTTTCGGAATTCGTTAGGCATTCTGTTCGGGACGCTACCTATCTGCCGTATACTTGGTGGACATTGATCACCCCCCCCCCCCCCNATTTATTTTATGTTCTGGCTGAGGCCGATCCGTTTTGGAATCTGATCGTCGAACCTTGTGCGTACCCGTACCTGTGTGTAGTATTCACCAAAGTGAGCGGTGGGGATATGCTGATAGTCGTATTCCCATCCGTTCACTACCTGAGTTACTTACCTTTACCCTTTACCTGAGTTTATATTACAGTAGAATTTAGAATTGTGCGCTCTAAGAAGTAGCGATCACTAAACTGACCTCCCATAGCTCCGAGAGCTCCTCCAGCGAATGAAGTCAAAAACGAAGAGCCTCTAGAGGCAGAGCCAAATCCGGTACCGGAACGGAACCTGAACCTTTCGTTGACAATCCTCTTACAGTAATGCGAACAAGTGAGCTAAAAATGAATTTTTTTTCCATAATATGGAATATATGCGGGTTTAGACCCGAAGGGAAGGCATTCCGAGAATTTCTCGTTTCCTTCCCTTAATTCTTTGAGCTTTCGTGTATTTCTCCATAAATGCGTCTTTACCTGGACGGAATGATTCAATTTTTCCATTGCGATATCAACTCTTTCCCGACTTCTAAATTCTTACCCACTGAATTGGATTTCACCGGATGACGAGCCTTGAACTCGACTCGAATTCCGTGTAACGAGACAACTAGCTAGGAACCGCTGTAGCCGGCTGGGCATATCGCCACACTCGACCGTTTTTATTGGCTTCGCAAAGCAACTATCATTAGGCTTCTTTTATTGCTTGCCAACCAAATTCGAAGGCTATCCTGCCGATTTTTCGATTGTCTTAGCGGGATTTCAACTGGTTTTCATACGAGGTGCCTCCTTTCCGTTGAGGTTTCGAAGTTTTCGAGCTAGGGCTTCTGGAAGCTTGATGGGAGATCTCACATTATGTAGTATCACGAAATCTAATGGGCCAAGGTTCACCAGATGGTTTCTTGGGGAGGAGTGATGGCCCTACAATTTTGGGGTGGAGCGGTGTTTTTAAAGAAGGGGGCGTGCATAGTCTGAGATTTAGGAGGATCAGCAAAGAAAGGCTTACAACTCAGCCATCTCCCCATCCTAGTGTTCCTCTTTCAGGAACTGTCCCTGAAAAGCTGGGGAGGGGAAAGTGCAAGCCAATACATATCTAGTCTTCAATTCATTTCTTCTGTCCCAGATTCCCGGACATTCCGGATCAATCTGCGATCTGCGCTTCTTCGGCTCCAGTTGTTTCGAACACTTTCTCACACTCAATATTGTCGAACGCTGCTTTGGGTGCATGGCTGATAGAACTTGCTTTGGAATTGATTGTTTGGCTGATAACGCGGCTCCTCCAGAGAGGTTCTCTAGCGCATGTACTTTAAGATGATTATTGATTTTATGCTCGCAGGGATAATATCCTCTCATACATTTGCTAGACTGAGATGAAAAAGCACTTTCATCTTTGAAACAGAGAAAGAGCGAAAACAGATTTTTCATTTACCCGCCAAATCCTCCAAAAGTACCTGGGCGACCTGAACGAGTAAAGTTTAAAGCAACATTTTCGACAAGCTCCTAGCAAAAAGGCTTTTCCTTCGCTTTTCCAGTGAGGAAGGGAGAGGGACGACGCATGGGTGCAAGTTTTTTTAGTGCATGGGTTCGTGAGCATTACGGTGACCCATTGACGACACCCGGACAAAAGGTACTACAGCCTGATGTCACTTTCAGCTTTTTATTAAGTGATGGAAATTAGGTACGATGGGTGGTGGAGCTGAAGGTGAGGATTAATGCTCAAACTGGAGAGGTTGGGGGTTAAGGAGAAGCGGGTAGAAAGAAGTTCTAGGGAATGAACCAGTTTTCTTGTGCAAAGTCGCATACCATAATCCCGACAAACTATTGCGCCCATCCCCCTCTTCCTGATGGAAGAGCAATCACTCTTCAAACATAGCTATGAAGAATAAAAAAATTAGGTAATGAGACTCACCCCAGCCTCGTCCTGCTGGCATCGGGCCCCTCCCTCCGGGTACCCTGGGACGACCTCCGGGTACTCTGGGACCTGATGGCACACGAGGACGTGGACGAGGAGGCCGTACAGGTGGTCTGTAACCTCCTCCCCATCCTCTCCCACCAAATCCTCCCCATCTTTTGGGGATGGCTTCGTCCATGAGCAGGAAAATGAATAGCACGATAAGGAGTCGGTTCCACATCTGAAATAGTTCGGATGCGATTGGTACATATTAAGAAAAACTGCTTACTCAAGATATCGACTAAGGTACGAGGAAGAGTGCTGCTGAATGAACTACACCTCACATGAACGCTTTACTTCCGTCTTTTCCTTCTTATATGCAAAGCAGTGACTTTATTGGATGGTTTGTTGATTGGCCTATCGGTCTGTCTGTCCGTTCTCGAGACTTCTTGTGATTATGGTGAAAATGGTAATTTAGAAATCTCACCCGAAACTGCGGCTGTAACAATTAAAAATGAGCTCAAAAGAGAGATCAATGTAGTAGTATTGCTGGAATATTGCTTTGTCAGCATTGATAATAACTGGGTTCCTACTATCCATATTGATCGGATCGATAGTGATCAATATCGATTTGCGGCGTGATTGAAATAGCAACCATAACGGAACTCCCTCCAACATCAGAGTGTCTGAATCAATTGGTAAGAGGTACATTTGGCGGATCGAGCAGTCAGATAAGGGTGGTCAGTGGGTACTGACAGGACCCTCTTTGGAATTATGATGTCAGTAGATTCTGATAAGAACTAGGCTTTCATCCATCATACTGCAGTTGTAACTAAGAAGCATATTCTTATGGTCCCACTTGAAAATATGTCCCAAAAGGGACGCTAAACAGTCTGATTCAGTCATCCGATCATAGATCCGACCGGGCAGTGGTCGTATCACCCGTATCACCTGTCGTCCCGTTGATCATCGACTTCCTCGAGCGGGCGCCAGTAACGTCTCCATTCGTCCCTGTCACGAGCCAGAGTGGTCCAGTGAATC